TAACGTTATATGGGAGGAGGGCGTGGCTATTGCCTGATTTCAAAGATTTTCAACCAATTTCTTAGCTGGATCATAAGCTAGGCTCGTACCGCGTTTGTTAAGGATTGGTGAAGCGGTTACTAAGATACAGTATTTCATCATAAGTGGGTGGGGTCACGTCCCTTTTCCAAAAGATTCATAATAATATCATTTTGTACCAAAATTATACTTCACATACAAGTTTTCAACAATTTGGATCAAATATTTACCGAAATCTCGCAGTTTTTACATTTTTCGAAAATACCATGCCACGTTGACAATATAATCCTAAAAGCTTATTAGGCAATGAGCTTTATCATCATATCAAGCACTGATTAACTTGTACTCAATGCTGGTACGGCCGTCACTGGAATACTGTTCAGTTGTATGGTCTCCATATATTGATACGCTTGTTAACATAATTAAAAATATGCAATAGAAGTTCTATAAATTTGTAAATTTCATCGACCGTCGTAACGGCCGAGCATGCAACGCAAACGCAGTCACGGAACGATTCAATTTAAAGAGTTTGACCTGCCAAAAACAGATCAACGCTTTATCATTCTTTTTCAAAGTGATCAATGGGCTCATTGACTCTCCGGAGGCGCTTGAAAAATTTAGTATAGTCTGCTTTTATACACGCCTGAGTAGGAACCGTCTACTCGTCACGACGAAATCAAATGCCGCTCATTAAATTCTTTGAACAACACGCAATATTTACATACATAGTACGTACATACATACATACATTCATATGAACACACTAACGAATTCCACGAAACAAGAAAGTGAAGCTATTTCACAGCTATCCAGGCTAAGATAACGAATAAGCAATTAAATGACTTCGTTAAAAGTTTGCCCCAGTCAAGAAACTGCAAAACTTTGCGCCTATTCCATTTGCACTATGTAGCCGCTCAACTTAACACATACACACCAAGTTTACCCACTAACATACAAATGATACGACCATACCTTAACTAAAAACAAAATTATTTCTTACATTTAAGCCAACGAGTCACTGAGGAGTACAAACAAGCAATGTTAGCAACTGAATAACAAAGCCATCGCAGCAGTGTAAAGGAATGCAAACAAATACCGACACAGGACACCCAGTCAGCACACATGCACGTACAGATGGCAGGTAGCTGGGTAACAAAATGCGACGCATGGAAATCCAGATATCGACCAAACAACGTCACTCGCCACTAAAAGGCGTTAGTTATTACTGAGCTTCTGGCCTTTGATGTTTGCTCTTCGAAGCTGTCGAAACCGCAACTAAGACTGACACAAAAGTGCAAAAGACCTTAAAGTCAGCGGGGCTCGGTTCTTTAGGTTTATCCTGCAGCAGTAATCTAATGCTGTCGCAGCCGCAGCCACTAAAAAAGATACATACAAGCACTTCACGAAGGATAGTGACTTACTAACTTGCGATTGCAACTTGCTGGGAGGAATTCACCCATCCTCCTCCTCCACCCACTTACGCGATTTCAGTAGCACATTTGTTGCACGCCTTCAAGTGTTGTGTCTAAGTACTCGGTGCGCGAGTGTTACGTGTTGTAAAAGCTATTTTTAACATAAAATGCTGACAAAAATGTGTGGCGGATAAGTGCAAAAAATGTTAAATTAAAATTTACGATTAGCACGCGAATTCATAAGTGCAATAATCCTTTGTTAAGAAGCCTAGAACCTGCGGTTAACAAAAGTGACAGTGCAGCAAACTTATTCTTTGTAGTAAATGAGTGTGTGAGAGTGGCATTAGTGCCTCCTATGCTTTGGCAAGTGCACATAAGTTTTGGAAACTTAGCACATACATATGTATGTATGTATGTATATGTATATGTACAACAAATGGCTAAACTGGCATGCAGTGAATCTTTGATGGCTTAGAAAATATATCAACGAAAAATGGGTGATTCAGGTAAGTTTCAAATGTCGAAGTCCCAGAATATGGATTGGTACGCATGCCCTGAATGAAATATAAAATGCATAAAAATGCACATAATATGATGAAGCAATTTTTAAAATTCATCATCATAACATAGTTATTTTATGAGCCGTTTCCCTCCTAATCAACTACGTTAGCTTTCACAGTGGCTACTTGAGGCGTTATACATAAGTATGTTTACCTTTAGTCGCAGCAAAATTAATAATTGTCTTAAAGTTTTGTTTTTGGTATGTCACTGTAATTGTTCTTTAAAGATTTTAAACATTCTAAATACTTATGGCCTTATTCATAAAAAATAAAGTAGCTTTAAAAAAGGTTTATAAACTGAAAAATGTATGAAAACGTCAATTTATAGAGCTCTTTAAACTTACTTTATTTTTTATGAATAAGGCCATAAGTTTTTGACGAGTTTGTAAATAATTTTTCATTAGTTAATTCAATAATTGTGAAGCCCTTGGGTTTTGGCTCTGTAGCGCCTTGTTTTTTCATACACTTGCGGTGGCAATGATATATCAACATCGGTTTATATGCATAGAAAAAAAAAGTATGTATGTATGTACAGTGAGCCACAAAAATAAGTATACCCTGACGTTTTGACGATTTTATTTATTTATACATATATGTAGGGTGATCCATCTAGTCCTTGGTTTTTTAATTTTAAATATATCAATTAAAACAGAATTGAATGTCTGTTGAATTATCACCCGTGAGAAGAATCTCTGACATTTATTTATTTTTTAAATAATTTCATGTATATGTTGGCCGCAGACAGATCAAAATCGTAAATAACGAGCGCTACCGCACCTTATAACTGCCTTTTTTTTGCCTGAACTGAAGCAAGTGATGTCGGCAACATTTGGTTTCAGCAAGTTATCGTGCGATATCACACCTGTGGATTTTCTAGTTGGGTTTATATGAAGTCAGAAGTCTTCGTCGATAAACCAGCTATAATTCAAACCTTGGAAGCTAACATACTCGCGTAATTCACGCAATGCTGGAGAAAGTAATTGAAAATTGGACCCTCCGAAGGGAACACCCACAGCGTTGTCGCAGCCAACATTTCGATGAATTATTAAAAAAAAATTAAATACCAGAGATTCTTCCTTCGTGTTTTCTTAAAAAAAAAAAAAAAGGTCTGGATGGATCGCCCTATATTTTCCATGCCAAAATGTTATTTTTTCATAAAAATATATGTATGTGTGTAGTTCATTCAAAAGCCACACGAATAAAGTATTTTTTAAATTTCGAACAAAACTCGTGAAAATGCAAGAAATTTTCATCTTTTCAATTTGATTTCTTAGAAAAATGTTGAGTAAGCAGTTGTATAAAAAAGTGCAGTTTCAAGTCGTTAAAAAATTGCCGTCGATTTTAGATTTTTTTGCCGAGGGTGTTGCGCATTTTCTTTTAATGGGCTTTTTTATCAGACGGATGATGCGTTGTTGTTGTTGTTGTTGTTGTAGCAGCATACAAGTTCTCCAAAGGGTTTTTGCGGAGTGTTGCTGGAGTGACAGTCCTTGGCCAGATATAAATCTGGGTCGTTCCGGTTACGTAGACCCGACTGTCGTGGGAACGACGGATGATGCGTCTAACCCCTCGGCTACGATGGTCCACAGTAAACTGAGAGAAATATATACATACATATATGTGCGCGTAAAACTCTGTATCAAAGTACATATTTTTAAACTGCTCAGATATACATAGATAAAGGATTTAAAAATAACTTAAGACAATTATTTTCAAATACTTTTTCAAGAGAGTTTCATAAACAAGTGAATATTTTTATTGATTCCCATTGCAAAGTATGATTGAAAAAGTTGTTTTCTCTAACTATTTAACTCCTAATATTAACCCATTCATTTTTTCTGGTATTTGTATTAAAAAGAAAATAAACTCAATAAAAATGGCTGAGTTAGTCAATTAACATTTACATGAAATTTACATTACAAATTTGACTTAAATTGCATTAAAAAATATAATTATTTTCGAAATAACTGTGATGCTTTAATGCATATCTAAAATGAATCCTAGCTATTTTTTCTGGAACAACCTTGGATTGAGTCATAAAATTCATACACCTAATTTTATGAAGGGGAATAACCGCCTTTCTTTTGTGGAGTATGAGGCAATGTAATGTAGTATAGCAAGCACACTCAAGCAAATAAGGATTACTTTTAGGAATCCTTTATGGAAATTGTGTCCATAAATCACTTCTTCACTATTTTTTACTTTGATAGCTGAAATAAATATTTACATACATATTTATTATTTTTTCGCACCCTATACATCAAGCAGGTACTACTATGTATTACCAAGCAGCTCAACAAAAACGAGTACTTTATACGTTTCTCACTGCCAATGTAACTGTTTTCAAAATGGGCAGGCGAAGTTAACCTTAGCACATTTTCAAGTGTAAAAGATCGTAAAAGCGATTATTGGCAATATCCAAAAAGCAATCAAATGACGTGTGAGTACTAAAAGTGCGATAATCGGCACGCACAGAAGCACCTAACGGTAGAATAATGTAAGAAAAAGTAGGCAAACGTTAAGGAGCTGTGAGTGTACATAACATTATAGTGAACACTTATTCCCATTAACATAGCTACCTACTGACACCATTTATATGCATATTAAAACATCTAACGGTTATAACAAAGAGGCTTCACAGAACTTTAGCTCGTCGTAAGTGAAGGTGACAGGCAAAAGGTGAAATGCCGCATTTCCGCTGTCATGCCAGCTTGTTGCATGAGCTGCAGGAGGAGCGCCTCAAGAAAACTGACTTAAAAACCACACATATGCTGACACCTTGTCATATATGTACATAGGTATGTATGTAGTTGGATGCACAAGTGTGTAACATGTGCATGAAAGTGCTAGCGTTTTGAAAATCATAATTGAAAAAAAAAAAAAATCTTGAGGTTACTTATTGTTTTCTATGGCCGCTCACTGAAGCCATTTCTGATTCTTTAGAAGTTAGACGCAATTTAGTTGCGCTAGTTAACGGTCGTTTTCTCGATAAAAGAAATTAAAATTTTTAAACATGATGTTTGGTATGGCGTGCGATCCTTTGAAGCATACAAGCATGTATGAGCGTATGAACGAGGGTAAACATTTTACAATAAAATTGAGCCGCACAAAATATTTAAACGGATTTTAATTGATTTCTTTGTATCATCGTCTGCACTTCCAGATAGCGAGGACAGCGATGGCGAGGGCGGACTTGGAAATGTGTCACGCGTTATCATACGTCCACCAGGTCAGAGCGGTAAGGCTAAACGTGGACATCTTTGCTTTGATGCTGCTTTTGAGACGGGTAATCTGGGTAAAGCTGATCTTATTGGCGACTTTGAGTATGATCTATTTTTACGTCCGGACACTTGTAATCCTCGCTTTCGGTTTTGGTTCAATTTCACTGTGGACAATGTAAAACAAGATCAGCGTGTACTCTTCAATATAGTTAACATTAGCAAGCCACGTAATTTATTTAATTCCTCTCTGGTGCCGTTAGTAAAGTCGTCGAGCCGTCCCAAATGGCAACGATTACCGAAGAAGAATGTTTTTTACTATCGTTCGTTGCTGCATCAAAATCATTATGTGCTTAGCTTTGCTTTCTCCTTCGACAAAGAAGAGGATGTGTATCAATTTGCAGTAGCGCCACCTTATAGTTATTCACGGCTACAAGCCTATTTAAATGTGATCGATGCGCGACAAACGGAGCAACGGTTCGTGCGTAGTGTGCTGACAAAGAGTCTGGTAAGAGTAAATACATAGTAGCTATAATAGTATGTATGAGGCCATGTGAGCTATAGGTGCCAATCTACAAAAGATTCTTTTTAGTAATATGAGAAAGAAGGATCTATAAATAATAAATGCGGTCTTTTACTGAAAAGTTCAATGCGCCTACGTCATACTACCTATTATATTAAAAGAAAACTAAAAGCGCATGTCTCGCGCTATTAGTCCCCTTTCAGACACGTCAAGTCTTGCTTTCAAGTCTGCTCGTTCGTTGGCGAAGGAGGCGGGAAGAGTGGGGAAGAGTACAGATACCTCCGTACCGTCAATTCGTTTCAAGTTTTCTTGTCTCTTTTGATCTTTTCGTTGCTTCCCATTTAAGAACCAAGGACTTGAATTCAATTAAAGTTGACGCGTGTGGAAGGAAATAGAAAACACAAAAGAGAATGCGAAAAAAATTGCTTTCAAGACTTGACGTGTCTGAAAGCGGACTTACCGCTACGATTCTAGTAATGCATTTTAAGCTGTACTTAATTTTTTTATGTCGGTTAGGCTACTCTGGCTAGGACCCCCCATTGATTTTCGGCAAATTTTTTTGTTGAGGGTGTCGCACATTTTTAACATATAAAAAAATTATCGAACATTATTTTATAGCAGAAAGTGAGATACACCTTCAACAAAAAAATGCTAAAAATAAATGGTAAGTCCTCGCTACCTCAAACTTGCACTTTGTTAAACTAAAATTGAATCGGATAAAAACTGCGAACTCAACTTTTTTCTAACGAGTGTACATAAAAAGTGCAATATTTGGATGAAAATTTGCAGAATTTTCTTTAATTTTGCATAAGGTTTGGAACTCTGATTTTTGGGGTTTTTGTTGTAGAATTAACCGTATTTTTATAAAACATATAAAATAGCGAAAATAAATTATTTAAAAAATAGTTGCCGGTACCAAAACTTCATTAACTGACTATGTAATAGTAATAATATATTGGCGCTTACACTTTTGCTAAGTGTTTGGTCGAGCTTCCTCCTCCTCAAGCGTGCGGCTTGAGGTTGTTAAACCAACTAGGGGCCTACAGTTTTACGCCGCCTGCGAACGGAAAATGGAAGCTTTGTTAAAGCCGAAAAAATACTCGAAGATTTGATATTGCTAGCCGAGGAGAGAACGATGTCCTTATATCTGAATAATCAGTGGCATACAAAATTTCAATCACATAACTCAGGAATTGAGTTCAAGCAGACAGATGGACGGGCATGGTTAATAGGACTCCGCTCATAGTATTGTGACTTTTGGATTAAATGTTCTAACAAACATCAATTCCTTACTAAGTCGGTTCAGACTATCAAAACACAAAGAAAAAATATAAAAATAAAACAGATGTTGCCAAACCTAAACAAAAATAATCATTTTTCGTTTTTCTTTTCCTCAGCAAAACCGTAATGTCGATCTGCTCACCATCGATCACGTCACCGCCAAAGCAAAGGCATCACGCCTGGATCGCGGTTTTATTCGCGTCATCGTTATATTATGTCGTGTACATTCCGGTGATACACCGGCCTCCTTCATGTGCCAAGGATTTATAGAATTTTTAATCGGCAATCATGCGATTGCAACGACACTACGCGATAATTTCGTCTTCAAAATTTTGCCGATGGTTAATCCAGATGGTGTATTTTTGGGTAATAATCGCTGCAATTTAATTGGGCAGGATTTGAATCGTACATGGCATGTAGCCACGGAGTACTCTCATCCTACATTGTATGCCATAAGGAATATGCTAAAGGAACTGGATAACTCTGATGTATGCGCGAACAGCCTTTGTAATGTTTAATTCATATCACTAACGTTATGTCCAATTGCAGATTTATCAAATTGACTTTGTTATCGACTTGCACGCGAACAACAGTCTGCATGGCTGCTTTATCTATGGCAACACATACGAGGATGTCTACCGGCATGAACGTCATCTTGTATTTCCGCGGCTCTTTGCCACCAATGCGCATGATTATGTTGCCGAAAATACCATGTTCAATGCGGACGAGAAGAAAGCTGGTTGTGCGCGTCGTTATTTTTGTGAACGTCTCAGCGATACGGTAAATGCTTACACGGTGGAGATCTCCATGGGCGGCTACTATTTAAAGGATGGCAAAACTGTGACGCTCTACACAGAAGATGACTGTAAGCGAATGAATCATAAGAGTATTATGTATGTGTATCAAAATGAATGTAAATAATTATTTCGTTATCAGATTACCGCTGCGGCCGCAATTTGGCGCGCACTTTCCTCCACTATTATCGCTTCATCAATGTGCTACCAACGCCTGTTGTGTCTGAGGTGCGGTTGCGGCGGCGCAATCGCCCACGCACTCATCACTCACGTTCACGTTCCCGCACACGTTACGAAGTGAAGCCGCGTCCGAAGACAACGCGCTGTTATGCGCCCATTGCGTATACGAATCTCTCGATACATTACGACTCCGGTGGCTCATCCGATGAGGGTGGGTTTTCGCCCACGCGCCCCATAGCGCCAAGTAGCAGTCTCTTCAGTGGCTATCGGAACTATCGACGTACGCATGGCAGTTCGGCCGTCACACACGATCAATATGCGCTGCTGGCGCTCAAGTCAACGAGATACGATCACTTGGGAGATTTTGGCGGCGGCGGTGGTCGGGCCCATGCGTATCAGCATAGCCGAGCGGCTACGGCTGAAAAGTCAAGCAAAGCAGTTACATTCGAACAACCATTAAACGTGCCACCCAAACCATATTTATCGATTATTGATCTTAACCAGCTGACGCGCGGTAGCTTGAATCGAAAGACGGTCAGCTTCGATGCGGATCATCGATGATTGACGGTACGGAGAGGGAGTAAATTGCGTGCACTTAGCAAGTAGATAGATTAACAAATTTTTCATCCAAATTGATATGTTATAGCTCAATTTCATCTACTACAAATTTTTCCTCTTAGCCCTTTATTAGCTTTATTAGCTTTAAGTACATATTGTAGCAATGAACTTGAACGCTTTTCATGTCGATTTTAATACTTTTTCCGAAAATAAACTTTCTCTACATAGACCAACATCGAATCACTTAGATGAGTCAGCTATTTAATGTCAACAGTATGATAATTATAACTTTGCAATTCTTCTCACAAGCAATATTAAAGGTCAGCATTAACATCATCGGTCAAAACTTTTGTACCAGAATTTCATTTTTGTGATAGAGGGTATTTAATACAAGCTGTCGATACATATAAAGGATACCTAAAGACAATGTGCAATTATATTCTTCAAGTGTTTTGCAGCGCGAATACTCGCCTATTGCATTTCAGGGTCACCGCCGATTTGTGTATACACATGAATACGTATGTATATACATATATATTATATATTAAACTTAAATAGCACACGTCAAGTATATATGGGCATTTCCATCATGTGTAAAGTGGCCATCGGTCACAATGTAACTGAAAAAAATCGTAATTTGACAATAGGCTTAACCTATAGCCTTTAATTAGTCCTAATAATTGATGCAAAAGTTGATTGGGGACAGGTTTTCGATGTCAAAACAATTACAAAAAACCGAGGCTTTCGCGCAGGAAAAAAAACAGCAGTGATTTTCGAGGCCAATTCAAACGCTGATCTCAGCGAAAGCTGAGGCAATACTTCGATATGACTAATTTTAGTTTGTTGTGCAGCTATAACTTCTATCAAATTTAAATTATTGTTGTTTGGATCCGGTCATTTTCCCCAAGATATTTTCATTTTAAGTTTGCATTTTGAAAGAAAAAATATGGAATGGAAAATTTTACTCATACGCCATACACATACGAGTATGTACCAGTACGGCCACGTTCGATTGACCATTCGCAACTGGCTTATTTATCTAACCGATTTTCTTCGTCAGTAGATATATTGGCTTTTTTTGGCAAAAGAATAGGCTTTATTACAAATGAAAAAAAAATACAAATAGTTTCTTATTTTTGAAATTGTTTCCTTGCTAAAGTTTGTTTTTTTTTAATAAAAATGAAAAAATCTGGAGAAAATTACCTAACCTGAAAAAACACATCCATAATCCGCGACCCAATATTAAGTTTATGTGTTTCGGCGGTTTTTCTGTGCAAAAACGATGTAGTTTTATTAACTTTTAATATTTTGTCTGCGGTGGACCTTCTGGTGGAAATGCTCCTATGTACACAATTTATCGTTGCATCAGCAACAACAACAATAAGCACTTGTGCCGATGGTCAGTTCCTTGGCGTTGCTATTATTTCAAAACAAAATAATCATTCCGCTTACGTTTTTGATTTACGTTGACTTGTTCATTTTGGCTCAAATACTATTTTCTATGAACTGCAGCGAACAACAAAGACTGCAGCTGGCCAAGATAAATGAGCATTAAAAATGTTTGTATGTAAAATTGTTTTGCTGTGTGAAATTATTTACGTACATATATACAAACTTTTTTTACATTGCTGTTTTGTTTTGTAAACTTTAGTTAATAATACTTTTAAAAAATTTTCACATAACTTCACCACTTAAAATTGGGGGTTTCTTTTTGCATCTATTTTTGTGTGCCATAATTTATAGGTTGCAATCTGGAACAGCCATTTTAGGTCCTCCACGAAATAATGCCCAAACATTAGTATTCATAGGTCAAACCACAACAGAATTTTACTCAACAACCTTTCATTTTTTCGTGGTTTTGCTTGTGAACGTAATTCAATTTTAGTGCATGCAGTTTAATTTCTAATTTGACTTCAAACATGCAGCATGAAAGCCTTCAGAAACCTATAGTAAAATTTTGCAAGAAATTTTTTCGTAGAACTTTTTGCTATTCCTTAACTCCTTCTATAGTGGGTATTTTTGAGCCTTATTATTAAAAGGTTCTATGTAAATAAGTACATTAACAATGCTTGTTGGAGGGTTATTCAAAATTTTTTTTTTTTAATATTTAACTAAATTTAGCGTTAAAATTTTTATGTACAAATTTTATTTCCTCCCATTATAGGTTCTTTGAACTAATTTGAAGGAGTTATTCTAAATTAGAACATCTTTTTTCTAACTGTGGTCGCCCTTTGGCTGGTAATGACAAACCTCCGAGTGCCATGAAAAAGCTTCTCATAAAATCCATTTCCATTCGTAGGTGGCGCTAAACTGTAGATTCCTCCGTTTTTGTGGTAACATCAAGACACACACACCACACACTATGGTTAGCTAAAGTTTGTAGGTGTAGAGTACAGGGCACCCTTGTTTTCAACAGAAATATATGCCCGTTCCATTATTTCGTAAGGAAAAAGTGAGGCTGTAAAATAGCAGATGTCAAAACTGCTTGGACGCTACTATTCATACACACGAAATAATTGCAATTTATTTCTTGACCGTTTACTTAAAAGGTCCATACTTAGCTTTATACTTGGAAATAAGTAAAATAAGCATGATTGTTAAACTTAAGCTTGGAAACCCTGAATAAGTAAACTAAGCAATTCCACGTAAAAGCTTAAACTTTTCGGCCCTGTTGATCATCAAAAACTGTTATGTGAACAAAGTTAATATACCCTTGTGCACAAGTGCCCCCGGGTATAAAAAAATGGTTTTGTTTATTAACAATAATTAATTATTAATGAACAATTACTGATTTTAGTTCACTAGATCGAATCAGTAGAACAATGTCTGTAATTTACAAAAAAAAACGTTAAAATCCTTGCTTTTTTGCGGCACTTATAAGCGATTTAATCAAAAATTGCTATTAAGAGAGGAAAAAAAGTATTCGTACTAAAAAAAATCATTATTCGAAAAACTCGAATTTCTGAAAAGGAAAAAATACGTAACTCCTTAAATTGTTCAAGGAACAATCTCTGTGAGTTTTATCGCAAACTTAAATGGAAAGTCCCATAAACAAAATTGTCTAGATAATCAAAATCAGACAGATAAACAATAATAAAAACAACTTTATAACGGCACAAGCTATTAAAATACATAACATAAACAGCAAATGAAAAAATTCCCACAACTCAACTTCCCGCCAAAAAT